CAAAGCTTAAGCACTCAACTTTTAGCCTGTGGGGTATGGGTTCGAACCCCTGTCTCCATCTACTTCAGCCTGGGTGAATGGGTAATATTATCATAGGCCTTTTTACTCAATAATTGCGACGCATAACCTGGAACATGAAAGATCTCCCCTGGGAGTTGTGTCCAAACAAGCTACTTACAATTCCATGCAGTTAGCAACGAGTCACACCTATGGCGCGGGGTTCGAACCCATTAGAAGTCGAGTGCCCTTAGACCAATAAGCTACAGCTGCTCTCACAAATAAGAAAGTTTCCCCCCACCCACATGGTATTCGTTTGTTTTTGTATAATTGTTGTAATTTAACTTTAACCTGTGTATACTTCTTTTTTTTCCTATTTATTCTAGCTGGATGTCCTAATGATTTTATTAACAGTTTAAAAAAGGCAGGTTTACTCTTTCGGATATATATCTTGTCTTTCTATAGTTGGTTTGTAAGGATTAGTTTTGTTTCTACGAGTTGATCACGGATTGAGAAAAATATTTTGTTGTTGTTGGTACTGGTGCGATTCTTTGTTCTCCTGTTTACTGTTTTGTTTAACAGTTTCAGAGACTTTATTCCAATCAGATAACTAGTTGGAGTCATCAATTTTCACATTGTCGACTAAAAGGCACCTTAAATGAGGTGTACCTTGTGAGAATATATATGTCTCCTATTTATTTCATTCCTCCGTATTCCGAGTGACATATCGAAGGCTCAAAGTCTGAGCTTTGAATTTTCACTAGGAATAGTGCTTATTCTGTTTTTTACGTGATGGGTTTGCTAGCCTCACGCCCAAGTTTCCCTCTTCTCCGCAGTTACTACCGGCTAAGTGAGGTCAAACAAAATCGAAGACTCACAAGCGAAAACCGACAAACTGGTCGAAGAAGCAGCAAAGACAGGACTACTCCACGTGAACATAGACAAGACGGAGGTTATGAAAATAACCAACCAACAATAACAACAACAGCAGCAACATCCACCGCCAATCACCATCAACGGGAAGGATTTGAAAGAGGTCACTTCATTCACTTATCTAGGTAGGGAGCGTTGTCTCAACTACAGGAGGAACGGACGAACGAGGATGTCAAATCGAGAAACGGGAAGGCGAGAAACACATTCATCACCCTGAAACCAATCTGGAAATCTACGTCACTCAACTCAGCATCAACAACAAAATTCGGATTTTCAATACAAACGTCAAGTCAGTCAGTTGTTCTATACGGATCAGAAAATTGGGGGGTCACAAAGAATATTTCCAACAGCCTGTTGCAGACCTTTATCAACGGCTGTCTTCGCTCTATACTGAAGATCAGATGGCTGGAAAGAATCACCAACAAGAAAGTATGGGAACAAACAAACAAAACAAGAACCAATCGCCCAACAAATATGCAGGAGAAAGTGGAGATGGATTGGACACTCGCTGGGTGACATCACGCGTCAGGCCAGTGCTGGAGTGGAACCCGAAAGGGAAGCGGCGAGTAGTGGGACGTCCAAAGGTGACATGGAGGAGATCGTGTGAAGAAGAGTTGAAACAGTATGGACTAACATGGATGCAGGTGAATAGTACAGCAGAAGACAGAAGCAAGTGGAGGCGTGCAGTTGAAGCCCTATGTTCCACTAGGAACCCAAGGGAACAATAATAATTATAAGTGAGGTCAAGGTGTGCATCAGCCGATCAGATCATGTGCTTGGCGGGAAAGTGTTCTACAGCTGGACTACCGATGCAGCCGAGTATTTTGACTTACTTATCAAGATTGTCCAATTGACGGTAAAGTTAAACAATAGCGTCCCAAGGAATGCGAACGCACGAGTGACCTTGAGCTGGCCAGTCATAAAACAGGCATTTATTCACAAAAAATGACATATATTTACAAGAAAATGCATAAAAACAGGGTGTTTTTCTCTGACATGGCTTAAAAATACGTCCCAGTGATAATGGGGTGTGTCAGTTTTTAAATTAAACCAATTTCTTTATGTGTATTCATTCAAGTGACTAAAAATAAGTTGGTTTTGAGAGCTATTTATTGCTCTTATCCTATTTTTTAATCTCTCCAAGAAACCCTCTATTGAATTCTTATGAGTGCTCGTCGTGGGATCGACGAAATCATCTGAATGGTTAACTTGATTACTTATATATCCCAAATCCGATAAGCTGTTATATCTCACCTATTCATCGGTGTGAATAGTGGCGTCGGCGTTAGCGAGCCTTTGAATAATAGTCAGAAGAGTATCGTCAAAGAAGGTTTCGATTTTGCATAGAAAGTTCCTGGAAAACAATGAACTGAATGTGCCACTTACCAGAACGAACACTCGTTCGTTTCCTACACTCCGTACATCTAAATATATGTATATATCCATCAATTACTTGTGAATACGATTGCAGGTTCGTTGAAGCACCGCAACTTCATCTGATACTACGTCCTATCAATCCATTATCCAAAAAGTATTTAAAAACGTGATCCGGAAGTGAAAATTGCATCTCAGTTCATGAACAGCATCCATTTTTGCGCTGGAATAATGTCAGGTGTCTTTAGCCAACGACTAACATGCGTTCAAGGTCACTGGAGCGTTCGTACCCCTAGGGTGCAATTGTTTAACTTCACCCAGTACACTACTACTGCTGTGGTGAGAGCTGACTGCAAGCCATAAATTGTAGACAGCAATTTATGTCAATGTTTACGTCCCGGATCGGGGTCGTGAAAAAAACAATAACGAAGCTTAACCTTGAGAAACTCAACAACCAATCACAGCAGACTTAGCGTGTGCAAATTCGATTCGCAGGTATATGGCTTAACTTTCTGAGAAACGATCACAAACAGTAAAGAATAACCTTCAGCAAGAAAACAACCAATTAGAAGAGGTTGCTTTTCTGCTAACAATAACGTTATTAATAATGTATATAAAAATCTATAAATATCTGTTGATTTTCTCAATAAACGAGCTGTTGTCTGGCTCTTGTTTTCTATTGTTACACTACTATGATTGTGTTTGTTTTTCTTTCAATTTTTTTCTGCTAGCTTCCTTCTGGAAAACGTGAACTTTCTCTCAAATATCCTCATTATTATCCAGCAATACAAATGGCTTGTAATCCAGAGACAAGAAGAGTATTACAGACAATGTTTAATTCAAGGTGAGTTACTCCTTCTTTCTTCTTTCTGTTCTAGTAGACAACTTGCATTTTTTGATTCACTTTGAAAATCTAACTGATCGTCAGCATGTATTACTGTGGGTGTTGATGTGTTCGACTTGGTGTCCGACTACTTATTATGAATCTATCAGTCAATGAGTAATATGTAGCGGCATGCATTTTTGTATGAACCGAAAAATAATTCGATCTCAAAGGAAATTGTGCTGTGAAATTTCACTTCGTGGAACTGTGTAAAGTGTAAATCGTGAATATAATTTTACAAACTATGAATTTGATTCAGCCTTGTACATTATTAAATGTACTTCCAGAAACAGAAGAAAAGGGAAGGAAACTGCAGCATGTTCACCATTGATCATTATTTCTGGCGTGATATCTGAGAACGTTTTGAGGCATCGATTCGAACTATCTTTTTGACGCCAACCACAGGAAGTCATGATGTACCAACTGATGCTAAACATAAAGTAAATATCCTTCATACCACGACGTCACTGTCATAGACTGATTACTGCCTATGCACAATTACAGTCTCTCATGAGTCCTTGTCTCGATCGACATATCAGGAGCTGCGTCCCCATGGTTTCTGGCGTCCACAAAACAGGTTCATACGCTATTCGATTCGTTCAGATTCTGGAGTCCATGTACTCACCATAAGTTTGGAATGGGGATTTTCCAGCTTCCTTAAGTAGACAAGCATGTTTACCAGTTCGGTTGTAAGCATCAGACGCTCTCATTCACCCTTCCACTGTTGTGAGGAACAGCCCTGACTACGTGAAGGCATTGGATAGAACTTACCTGGCAGAGTCTATAGTCACATGGTCAAATGAGACAACTTGTAGTGAAAGACCAAAGTCTTTCCACCCTCAGCCCTGTACCAGGTCATTGGGGGCCAATGTATCTTAAGGAGGTATGCTTTAATATCACTTCAAGTGTGTTTCACCACTGAATGGTTGTTATTTTTTCGTATTTATTGATATTACTACTCATATATGTATATATGATGTTGTGCTTGTGTTACTTACCCTCAGCTCATAGTGAATGAGATCATTTTCATTGAAACAATGTTGTCCACTGTAAAGTTGTATAATATTCAATATTGTCAACTAATCTATTGTAATAATACAACAAGTGCATGTTTCGTTAGGCATCTATCATAATCAATTCAATTAATGAAGTTCTCTTTCACATTTGAGCTTCATTCATTATATACTTTGGGTAATTAGAGTTCTATGTGCGTGTTCCTGTTTGTGCTTTTGTTGTTCTTTAATTGTTGTGTTGTTTTTTCAACAAACTGTTTTCTGTGTAAAATCATTTTTTTAAAACATGTTTTTGTGTTCTATGTATATTTGTGTATATTAAACAGTCTATATTTTTAACTGGTTACACATTTGAGCGTTTGTGCTGATTAATTGGCTGACTGTCTGACTGACTGAGTTTCATTCAACATAGAATTTTGCACAGAAGTACAACAGTTCAAATTGCCACACTCCATGGTCGGTGATGCTCAGGTAGGCTTCGTGGGCTTTTGGAAGTGTGTGGGTGGTTGTTACTTCCCGGCTGCCCACACCGTGGAAGTTGGTTGAGTCTTCGGGTACCTGAAATAGAGAAAAGGTTAGTGTCACGTGACCGCAGAGCCCAGGGGACAACTGCTTGAGGCCGGTCACACACGGCCTGTTTTTGTGTGTTCTTTTTTATTTGGTGTGTCTCAGTAGCATATTTATCGCTTCTGCCCTGTGACACGGTAGCAGGAAGCGCGGTCGTTGTTAATCCGGGCCGTGACCGATCCGGCATGATATTTTGTGAATTTGTGTGAATCATAGTATTGGATTGGGTAGCTGCTTTTTGTCTAACTGCTATCCAAACAACCTTTCTGGCATGGTAGGACCTACAGGAACAGCCAGTGTAGCTCCTTGGCTCATTGGGATATGCAACCTCGACAACCACGTCAAGGTAGCAGCTATCGGCCGGGACACTCCACGAAGCATACGAAGGAAGATATAAGAGAGGAACCTTTTGTGTATAAGGCAGGTTACAAAGACTGAATGCACCATCTGCTCCAGCCATTGAGAACGATTTTGAACCATTTTACTATCAGTCTCCAGCTATTAGTTCTTCGGACCCCGAAGAACTTCAACTAAGCAGTCTACACCTCGCTATGTGGTTGGTTCACACCAACTGTCAAAGATTTCGTGGAATGATTCAAAGTAAAAGAGGGTTGCAGACACTCAGCAGGATGCCTTGCCTGACCTAGGTTTCGTTTTAGTTGGTACTCGTCAGGAAGGCGTATCTGCAACCTTAAAGGAACTCATGTCCTTTCTGAGATTCGAACCTGCGTCACCCAGTGAGCGCTGCAGTCAGAGACGTTACCACTGAGCCAGCTATTCAGGCTCGCGATTGACCTCCTGTAGGACTGTATTGGATACTATGATTGAACGTCTCTGACTGCAGCACTCACTGGCTGACGCAGGTTTGAATCTCAGAAGGGACGTGACTTCCTTCAAGGTTGCAGATGTGCCTTGCTGACTAGTGAGTGCAAAATAGCACAAAACCTAGGTGAGGGGCTTCCTGCCGATTGCGTACAACCATCTAATATCATCAAATCAATGTGTGCACCGTGATGGCCAGCTAAATAGAACGGTGGTCACATTGGAAATCTGACTGATAGAATTCAGTCTGCACTGAACAACGGACTAGACACATCACACTAGTAACTAGTGCGTCCAATCAAAGTGATTCAAGGTTTTGGATTGACCACCACTCCACTTGCTCTTTTCCAACCCGATCAATCCTCTATCAGCTAACAATGCCAGTCGAGGGAGGAAGACATTGGTTAGGAATATCCTAGCCATTTCATCGGTTGAATTTCTCTCTTTACACAACGCTGAACGCCTAACGTCAATATTGTTAACCCTGTCAAAACACCCAACACGAAAGATGGAATGTTGACATCTGGCCTTTCCGTATCTTCCACTTTCAATGGCTATGCGTGACAGTCATCATGAAAGACAGAACGAGCTGTGTAGCATGGCTTTTCATCAGTTCGACACATGAACGCAGTAGGGTGTTGTGAACCTATGGCCTTCAGGTTATGATGCAAGCCTATAGACCATTCAGCCAATGGGGTAAGTTTCATGTTGGAAGTCAGACTGCTTTTGCATTCTGTCTTTCTGTCTAACTGTTTGTATGTTGGCTAGTTTTGTTGAATGGTTGTTACAGATTTGTTTCTCTGTTTTGATGGAATACGTTAGATGTTTTGTTGAAGTCGAATGATTGAATGAATGATCGATTAAGGGTGTTTTCCATCATACAACTATGCAAACTTTTCTTGAACTTCCTTCTCCTTCTGATACTTTATAGATGTGTGAAAGAGAATACACCAATTTTAAAACGTTTAATGGAATTACGTAAAGAAGTAAGTGAAATTGTTTCTGTCTGTGATTTTTTTCTCCCTCTTGTTCAAAAGAAATAAAGTTTGGATGATTGGTTGAATAGTTGTCATCTCAAGTGATGATAACCAGTGATGTCCATCGGGAGGAATAACACCCACTATCCCCATTTCTGTTTAATTTCATCATAGATGTACACCGTTCTATCTCCCGTGTGAAGTGGTATAATAGGGTGAGCAATATTGAGGATAGGAGTCGATTGAGTGCTAGGTAAGGAGGGGAAATGAATCGACGAGGCTGTGAAATTACATCGACTGAGATGGTTAGGACATGTTTTACCTATGTCTAGTCATCGTCTTCCTCGACGGGCAATGTTAGCTGATATAGGGTCGGGCTGGAAAAGAGCTAGTACGTGGCGGTCAAACGAAAACATGGCACCAGTCAATGAAATCTACAACAGTAGGAAGGTGTAGACTTCCTGGTTGGGGTCCCCGGGACGGTAAAAACCAATGGTTGGAAACAATTGGTGACATGGCTAAAAATCGTTCTCAATGGCTGGTGCAGATGCATCCACTCCTTGTGACTTATGATTTCCAATGAAACTGTTTTGTTCTTCGTTATTACTATTCCTTTGTCTCACGCCTCTGTTTACTGTCTCTAATATGCATTTCTCTTCTTGCTTTGTTTGCTGCATGGAGTGTGGCAACTTGGACTGCCGCACATATGTCCAAAGTTCTACGTCGAAAACCGACCGACCGACATGACTGTACTACATTGACTCCTAGCTCAGAGATCGAGAGTAAAATGGTAGGGTGTGCCGACCACTTCACTTATTTGGGAAGTTGCATCAGCCTCAGAGCCAAAGGGTTGATGGCTGACGAAATCACAGCAGGAATGCAGAAGGCTCGTTTAGTATATGCCAAATTACACCATTTCTGGCCTAGTAGACGTGATTTCTGGCTGGCTATCGACCAAAAGACGTATGTACTGCACAGCAGCAGTTCGCACCCCCCTCCTTTATGACTGTGAGACATGGTCATTGAAAGTGGAAGGCACAAAAATGCTAACTGTCTTTGACGGTATGTGTCTGCTCTCTATCTTCCGTGTTATGTGGTATAATATAGTCGGTAATATTGAGGTTAGGAGTTAACTGTAAGGTTAAGAGGGAAATCAGTCGAAGAGGTTGCAAAGTTACAACGATTGAGATGGTTAGGGCATAAGTTATTCATGCCAAGCTATCAGCTTCCTCGATGGGAAATGTTAACTGACATACGATTAGGTTGGAAAATAGCTACTGGTGGTCAAACCAAGACTTGGAAGTAGTCCATGAGATTTTTGACAGTTAGTTTGAGCCACATATGGAGGTCCACGTAGGAAGGTGTAGACTTCTTAACTGGTTGGGGTCCTCGGGATGGTAAACACCAATAAAGGCTGGAGACAATCGGTGATGTGGCTCAAAATCGTTCGCAATGGCGCAGATGCACCCACTCCTTGTGACTTATACTACCCAATAAAACTATGTTGTTCTTCGTTATTACTGTTCTGTTTGCCTCATATCTCTGTTTACTGTCTCTATTTTGCATTTCTTTTTACTTTCTTCTCTGGCTTTGTGTGCTGAGTAAAGTGTGGCAACTGTAACTGGTGCACATGTGTGCAAAGTTCTATGCTGAAACCAGTCAGGAACATATAGAGGTGTAGACTTCCTTGTTGGGATCCATGGGATTCTAAGATCCATTGAATAGAAACTTTTGGTACTATAACTGGAAATCGTTCTTAAGTGTGCAGATACATTCAATCTCTGTGACGCCGCATATCCATTAAACCGTCACCTGTTTCCCACGTTACTCTTCTCTGCTTTTGTGTGATACTTGGAGTGTGTCAACTTGAAGTTATGCACTTCTTTCTAAAGTTCTCTACTGGAAACTCAGTGAGGAGTGAATCAGCCAGGAAACGAACTAGGACCACTCGTGTAATTGTTGAGCACTCTACAACTGAAGATGCTTCAGATATTTCAGCTTATCTCACTTATATTGTGCTTCATTTTCCTTCTCCCGGCGTGATCTTTACTGAGTCTATTTTGCCTGTTTTGCTTTTACTATAGCGTGCAACAATCTTAGGCTTTCCTACACATGCAGATTTCATGCTTGATCTACGTATGGCTAAAACAGCAGCTAATGTAGACAATTTTTTAAATAATATTGGTTCAAAGTTAGAGAAAGCTCGTCAGAAAGAGACACAACGTTTGTTGGAATTGAAGAAGGAAGAGGTGAGTTAGTCGGTTTGTTGGTTATTTCTTTTTACTGTCATTTGTTGACTTTTGTCATCACTTTAAGCGCTACAACTAACATTTTATTCTATGCTTTTGTCCTAATTCTGTCACTGTTATTATTGATATATTTGAGTTCAGTGGAAACCTCATGTTATGGTCGTGTTTAAGTGAGTTCTCGTCTATGGACGACAGACTTGGTATATCTTCAAAAGTGTTTTAAACAGACAAAAGACTTCCATCAACAGCTGCCTTCATTCCTTACTGAAGATTAGCTGGTCGGAAACGATTAGCAACAGAGAACTGTGGAAACGAATCGACTAAGAACCTATGGCACTATACATATACAGAAGGAAATGAAGGTGGATTGGAAATACACGTTGAGGAGACTGTTGGGTGACATCGCGGGCTGGGCGGACTCTCGAGTGGGAAATGAGTTTGGCGTTGGTTCGAGTGTGGTATGAAGGAAGTCGTGTGTGTGTGTGTGTGTGTGGAGGAAATAGAATGCTCGTGGGCAATCGTGAACCAGGCTGAAGAGGACAGAATGAATAAGAGATGTCCTGTTGAAACCCCATGTTCCATTCGGAGCCGAAAGGGAATAATAGTAGTAATAATAATACTTAGGTGTTTTGTCAGTATATGGATGAACTGTGTTACTGGATAGATCAGTCTTCGATTGGACACTAGTAACTAGTGTGATACGTCTAGTTCTTTGTTTGGTGCAGACTGAATTCTACCAGTCAAGTTTGCAATGTGGCCACCATTCTACGTAGCTTGCTATCATGGTGCACATTGATTTGATGATAATAGATAGTTGGAAGCAGAAATTGGCAGGAAGCCTTCAACCTGGGTTTCATGCTAGTTGGCACTCACTAGTCAGCAAGGCGTTTCTGCAACCTTGAAGGAACTCACGTCCCTTTTCAGATTCGAACCTGCGTCAGCCAGTGAGTGCTGCGGCCAGAGACGTTACCACTGAGCTATTCGGCCTCCCGATTGACCTCCTGTAGGACTGTATTGAATACTCTGATTTGACACTATTATATACACTAGTAGATAGTAGATACTAGTAAGTCGGACAAATTTCAAACCTGACACAGAGAATTCAGTCTGGACCAAACAAAGGACTGGACACATCACGCTAGTTACTAGTGTCCAATCAGAATATCCACTACAGTCCTACAGGAGGTCAATCGTGAGCCCAAATAGCTGGCTCAGTGGTAACGTCTATGATTGCAGCACTGGGTGACTTGGGTTCGAATCTCAGAAGGGACTCGAGTTCCCACAAGGTAAGTCGGGATGTACACTTTTCGGGGTAGAACTTCTCTAACCTTCCTCCTCGAAGAGGAGAGGCAGCATAACCAGCATACTGGTCGTCTGAGGGAAACACCTTTTAGTTGTTACATCCTTGTTTCCCAGCAGTATAACTTCACTCACACACCCTTAACATAGCGCAAACAACAACTTATAATAAAGCGGTAGCTGCTTTTAGTCTAATTGCTAACCAAACAACTTTTCCAACATGGTAGGACCTCTAGGAACGTTAGTTCCAACCGATGTAGCTCATTGAGTCGTTACTATATGCAAGCCCGACCACCACGTCAAGGTGTAGAAGTAATCAGTCGGGGGCAGGATTTCCAACTTCATGCTCAACTTTCCCACCGGTCAATCAGTCAGTCGAGGTTTAGGTGAGTGTGCCCATTGGAAATCGCACCCGGACTATGTGTGTGGTTGGCGAACGCTCTACCTATTGAATCACCAACATACGATGTATGCACATTTATGTATGCATTTCTTCCTAACAATTGCTAACACTTATCATTCTAGTTTCGTTAGTCAGTGTTTCCTCTACCTTTTCTCTTTATTGTTGTTGCTGTATAGTGTGAACGTTTAGGCTATCCATTCAATAATCGTATTGATCCATGGGATATAAATTACTATATGAATAAAGTGAAAGAAAAAGATTATTCCCTTGATATACAAGCATTGAAAAAATATTTCCCTCTGACAATTATTAAATCGGGTATATTAAACTTATATCAACATTTGCTGGGTTTAAAATTTGAGCGTATCTCCGATCCGAATGTATGGCATTCAGAAGTTGAAATGGTTAGTTATTTTTCAATTGAATTTGTTTTATTTTTATCATTCTTTTTTAAAAAAATGATTAATTGATCTATCACCAATTACTGCTTTTTTTTGCATAATTATGTGGCTGTCCTAACGCGAACCTCTCAGTAGGTGGAGAAGGGGACCAAGTAGTTGGAAGTCAGTTCTCTAGACCAATGGGTTAATAGTGACCAGTACTAGGATTCAAGGCGTGCTCATTTCGTCTTATCTGGAGCTTGCTAGTTGTGGATATATACCTATAACTCCAGTGAGTAATTGATTGATTCGCTAACTGGTTTCAACATGGGACTGTACACAAAAGTCCAGTAGTTTTAATCGCCACACTCCCTCCATGTAGGGCAAATAAAAATTCAAAAGTACAATAATAAGCAGCAAGAATAGTAACATAGGAAAACAATAGGGATTAAGGGGTGGGATAGATCACAATGAGTTAATATATCTTCGTCATTAAGAACGATTTTGAACTATATCCCCAATGGTTCTCCGGTCATTAGTTCTTAGAATCCTGAAGACCACCTACCTACGAGGTTTGAACTAATTCTAAGAAATTCCGTGGAGCGATTCCATGTTTTGGTTTGATCACCGCTAGCTCTTTTCGAACCTAATCCATCCTATGTCAGCTAACACTGTCGCTGAAGTAAGTTGATGGCTAGGTATGAGTGACACATGTCCTAACAACTTCGTCGACTGATTTCTCCTTCTTACCTAGCGCTCAACCAACGCCTAACCTCAATATCGCCCACCTTTTTATACCACTTAACATGGGGAATAGAACGCAGGCACTTATGGTCGAAGACAACTAGCTAGCCTCTTCATGTCTTTCACTTTCACACACGCCCTTTGATTGACAGTCAGCCGGATATCACGTCTACTTAGCTAGAGATGATGTAAGTTGCCAAATGCCGCAGGAGCTTTCTGCAGCCGTGTTGAGATTTCTTCAGCAATCAGTCCATTTTGGGTTATTGTAACTTCCGTGATTGATTAGTTGATTGTGAGTGAGTTAGTGAGTGATGGATGATATTTCTACTAGTAGTTAAACCCCAGCAACTCCCCCCCCACCCCAAATCATTTCAAACATAAAAGTGTTATCCAGTAGGTCATTACTACTGATCAACGAAAACCATTTCTCGGTAATTCCATATAATAAAAATTTATTTGAAATATCACACAGTGATGATACAGTATTAACAACTGGATGATAAGGTTTTGAGCACAATTTTATTCCTCCTCATAATCATATCTGCTTTAGTCACATGGTTTCACAATTCTAGGTCCACCTAAGTTTTTATGTTCTGATAATCTAATTAACCCTAATCTACTAGTTTGACGCATGTAATTGACGCCACTCACAGACATTACATGATATTTGGTTTATTATATTATTTTTCTTAATTGTACCTATCGGATCTTTAAGCCGAGTAAGTGTATCTCTGTGAGAGTTGGTTGGTTGGTTGGTTTATATGCCACTCTAATTCAATTACATAAGTCAGTCAAACTAGTAGAACGGGATCAAGTAGATTATCAGAACATAAAAATTTAGCTGGACCTAGAATAATTAACTCTCCTAAGTTAAATAATCTAAAAAAAGTTTAGCCATTGCATTACATTTATTTGCATGTAATCACACAGAAGGATTCGTGGGACAGGGTGAGAGTATTAAAAATGATTTATATAGTTAGTTAGGTGGAGAGAGATGGAAGTTAATCACTGAAGCTTTGATCATCGATTCTACACCCAACATGTGCTGTTGGAAAGACGCCACTCATCTCCTATACTGAAGATATGGAAAGTGGCTGCAAACAACAAAAGGAAGTTGGAGAGACAGAGAGAAAATATGTTATAAGACAAATTGTGAAACCGTGTGACTACAATTGATTATGCTGAAAACCTTATCATCCAGTTGTTAATACTGCATCATCACTGTGTGTGATTTTTAAAAGAACAAGACAATATGTTAGTTTGCTGCGATTTAGCTCATTGCGGCTTTGTTCATGAGCTGGCATCAGTTAGAGAACCACTCAAAAAGCAGTAGAGAGTACTGGACAGCTGCTTCGTCCTAGTGTGATGGGACTCTACAGTAGTAAACACACATAACCCTACTAAGGTTCGAACCCAGAACCTTCTGGTTATAAGGCGAGCTTGTAGAATATTCAGCCACCGGGACTCGATTCAATGGCACATGAACTCCAACTTCTGCCAATTCACGATGTATGTGTATGACACGAATACCAGTCAATGGCATCGGTGAGTAACTGTTAATAATATTACTGTTATTGTTCATTTATATGCGTATCTTCTGTATCCTTATTCTTTCTTCCCTAATATGAAAACTTCTCATATTTCTGGCTAAATGCCTTAATCATTAAGATTTCAGATATTAAGCAGAGTTTTTACTTCAATTCTTGTGATACAAGATACAGTGAGAACTATAGCTGTACAATTATTCACAAAGATTACAGTTCAACCATTGTCCAGTTGGCTTAAGTTTCACAGATCTATAACAATTTGCTCATTTTTATGTAAGAAGTGGAGGCAGCTACCCTTGACTTCTGGTTAATGCTAACACTTAAAAGAACTCTTGTTCTTCTTTGGATGACTAATAAAGCCACAGTTCTGAAATGAGAATTTTAACAGATATAAATAACCCACACTCAGTTGTCTGTCATATTCTTATATAGTGCTATTCATCCCTTGTATTTTTAGTGCAACATACGGCTTCAAGAGCATATCGCCATTTCACTCGGTTTCCCTCTGTTTTTTTGACTAACTCAACGATTGTCCATGGACTTTCATTTTCTCCTCACATTATTTCCTCCATGCCAACCCCATACCACTGCCCAACTCTCTCACCGCTTCCTATTCGAGGTGGTGTCTCCTGAAGCTCTCCTTAGCTTGCATGTGTTATCCATCTCTATTTTCATTTCGATCAAGTAACTAGCTAGAATTCAAGTGGTTTGAACTGACTCAACTCTCTAAGCTGAGTTAAACTGAGTATATTACTGATCAGCTCGACTCCAAACGAGTGAAACTGTCGTCTGGTATTTAGATCACCTCTATTTTGCTGGCTGACTTGCACTACTGTGAGTTGATGTCAACTGTATCCAACTACTCATTATCAAACAATTAATCAGTAGTATATACCGTGACGCATTTTAAATAAACGTAAAATGAAAACATAAATCAATTATCCAGTAGCTAATATTCACATGTTAAAGTTAACTATCAAGAATCTTCACAAACTTCAACTACCAAAGAATATTTACTATCTTATTGGCGATATTTATTGTCTTTAGTTAGCAGAAGAGGCACCCAGCGATTATACTATGATGAGAGCTGTCTGCTATCCAAAATTGTAGACAACAATTTATGTAAATGTTAACATCCCCAATCGGGATCATGAGAAAAGTGAGGAACAAAGCCTAACCTTAAGGAACTCAACAACCAATTACAGCAGACTTATCGTAGGCGGATACGATTCGCAGAAATGTGGCTTAACTTTCTGAGAAACGGTCACAAGCAGTACAAAATAACCTTCAACAAGAAAACGACCAATCAGGAGACGTTGCCTCTCCGCTGACAATAATGTACATAATAATCTATAAATATCTGTTGATTTTCTGAATAAACGATCTGTTGTCTGGACTTGGTCTTCTGACGTTCAATACGACTTCAAGTGGACTGAACATAGGGGAAGACAGAGGTAAGAAAGATACCTACCAACAACCACCACCGCCAACAACAAGCATCAGTCACCATCAATTGGAGAGATTTCAAAGAAGTCACATCCTACACTTATCTAAGGAGCATGCTTTCAACACTACAAGCGGTGGCACGGAAGAGAATGTCAAAGTCAACCAGCCAGGATCTAAAACTCAAGGCATGGATTTTCACTACTAATGTGTCAAGTCAGTCAGTGTTATTCTTTATGATCCAAAGACTTGGTGCATCAACAAAACTATTTCCAACAGCCAATGGCAGACTTTTATCGACATCTGCTTTTTCTGGCTCTATAAGGAAGGTCAGGTGGACAGAAATAATTAACAGCAAAGAGCTTCGCTAACGATCCGACCAAGAACCTTTTACGTAGGGCTAGCGACTCTATGTCCGAAAATTAATCCAGTCGCTACATAAACTTCAAAACGCGACAAATATATAAAGACGGAACTTATTCCTCTCTGGATTCGGAGAGACGAAATATCACACCGGGCTGGTGAAAGCCTTCAATCAACCAATATGACTTCTTTCAATGAAAGTGATAATAAGCATGCGGACGTAGAGTGTTTTTATGATGTACAAAGTTAGGAAGGCGGCTGTTCTGAAGGAGGTCGACACCAGGATCGGAAAGGCGATGCAGCGCTTCATCACTTTTAAATCAGTTTGGAAATCTACTGCGCTCAACACGAAGAATAAAATTCGGATATTCAACATGAATGTTGACAAGTGGCTGAAAGCATTTCCAACAAGCTTTAGATTTTTATCAATAATTACTTTGGCTCCATAGTAAAGACCAGATGGCCAGCCAGGTAAAATTATTGTTATTGTTTCTTTTAATTCCTAGAGGAACATAAGGCTTCAGTCACAAATATCCATTGCGTTCGGTTCTCTGCCAACGTTTTCGCCTGGCTCCACGCCTGCCCACATGACTTCCTCAATTTTATTTTCGTACTGACGACCAACTCGAGTCTTCCCATTCGGGTTCCACTCGAGCGATGGCCTGGTATCTGTTGTCACTTGATGGTTTGTTTTCTCAGAGTATGACCAGCCAATCCACCTCCATTTATTCCTGTATATTTTTTGCACAATCGGTTCCTGGTTGGTTCGTTCGCTCCCCGAGATCCCTGTTGCTGGTCTTTTCTGGCCGGTCATCTGATCCTGAGCGAAGTATTGAGTGAAAACAGCTGTTGATGAAGGCCTGTAGAAGTAACAATAAGAAATTCTGGTAACAAATCAGTCAACAGTCTGTTGCTCAATAAATATGTTGAAGGGAATGGAGACGGATTAGACACACGCTGAAGAGACCGTTTAGTGACATCATACAACAGACGTAATCTCGAGCAGCACCCAAATGGGAAACGATAAGTTGAGCCTGGATCCGAGGATGATATGAGAGGAACCGTGTGAGGAGCAGGAGATAAGAGCTAATGGGCACTTGTAGAGCCAGGTAAAAAAGAGACCGAAGGACCATACAGTGACGATGTGCCGTGGAAGCTCTGTGTTCCACTTTGAACCCAAGAGAATAATAGTCATATAATAATGATAATAATGTTTCCCTTTATTTTGTTATTGATTTTTCAGTATTCAGTAATCGATGCACAATCCAATAATCTACTGGGTTATTTCTATCTTGATTTACATCCACGAGATGGTAAATTTGGCCATGCAGCTGTATTCAGTTTACAATCTGGCTGTTGTAGACCATTGAATACTCTGCCGTGTGATAATCCTCCTAGAAGTGATGCTGAAAGCAGGGATCAACTAACACCAACACCAACACCATCATTTGAACGTCAAGTGGCAATAGCTGCAATGGTAGCTAATTTTACTGCACCGGATAAAGAAACTGGTGAAGCTTATCTATTACATGATGAAGTGAAAACATTCTTTCATGAATTTGGTCATCTGATGCACCATATATGTTCGGGTACACAAACTGCATTATTTAGGTAGGTTCATTTCTACCTTTTTACGAGTTTGACCACGGATTGGTTGATATCAGTTAGAGAACCATTGAAAACCAACCAGGAAGTACTGGACAGCTGTTTCCTCACACCTAGCTAGCACCCACCACCAGGGTTCGAACCCAGGACCTTCCGGTTACAAGTCAAGCTGGCTCGTATGCCATTCAGCCAGGCACTGGGACTCGATTTAATGGCCAACCCATGAATTCTAACTTTTACCAATTCGTGATGCATTTAGCCCAACCACCAACCAATGTCATCGGTGAGACATCCATCCTCACACACTTGACTACTGATTGGACCTCACTGGTCACGACTTCTCACTAGAAGTGCAGGAAACTCTGTCCTGTAGCCAGTAGTCACTAGCGAGCATCAGATTAGTTTTTCAAGAGTTGGTTTGTAAGGATTAGATTTCTTTTTATGAGTTTGAGCACGGATTGATATCAGTTAGAGAACCATTTAAAACCTGGTTCATTTCTACCTTATTATTATTACTATTGTTAAAATGTATGTTGTGTAATACATTGTTTTTTGTGTAGTTATGTTCTCTGAAATGGGAATAGTTCACCATTGCGAAGCTTTTGTTTGCTTTTCTAAACAACATCTTCATCGCGTACTTCAATTTGAAGTGAGCTTTTAAAATTCTTCACGTGTTTATGCAAAGGCTTGAAAACATAATTCTACGAAAAATTAAACGCGAAATGTGTAGATCCGTTATGTGTGGACAACACATTCGTGATAATCGCAATAAGTGGTCTAGACAGTGCTCACAACCTAATGAACATCGTGGAGAACGACATGAAATTTGCAGGAGAAGAGGAATCCGAGGACAAATTCCATTTTTAGACGTCTTGACTGATTGGTTTCAATGGAGAACTTTGCACATGTGTGCATCAGTTCCAGTTGCCACACTCCTCTCCATGTAGCACACAAAGCAGGAGAAGAGAGCTAAGAGAGATTCAAAAAAGAGAGAGATAATAAACAGAAGAGTGAGTAACGGAAAACGAATAGTTATATGGGAAAACAGTAGATATGATATCACAAGGAGTGAATGCATCTGCGCCAGCTTTTGATAACAAGGATATTAAGCCATATCACCAATTATCTCTAGTCATTACTTTTTACCATCCCGAGGACCCCAACCAGACAGTCAGCCGGTCTACATCTCCCTACCTACGTGGCTGACTCTTATGGATTTCATTGACTGATGAAGCCATGTTTCGGATTGATCACCACTAACTCTTTACCAACCTGATCCATTCGATGCCAGCATGCGTGCGTAACATATGTCCTAATCATCTCAGTCGGTGTAACTTCACAACCTCGTTGACTGATTTTCACTCCTTATCTAGCACTCGCTCGACCCCTACCTCAATATTGCTCACCTTATTATGCCATCTAACACGGGAGATAGAACGCAGGCACCTATGATCAAAGATAGCTAGTCTTTTGATGTCTTCCACTTTCAATGGCCATGTATCACAGCCAATCATAAAGGAGGACAAAGCGTACCACTGAGCAGTACACATACTCCTTGGTCAACAGGATGGCCTTAGTCAAGCGAATAACTACAAATAGTTTCACCGTAATGACTTCAATTTTTATAGATTGATATCAACTGGTTGAGAGGTTAGTCGAAATCAGGGCTATGTATAGTAGTGGCATTTAATATAAAAGCAATTAAAATGTTTTGGTGGACTGTGACTAGCAGTGGAATCTAGGATGCCCACTTTGCCCTGTTTGAGACTCTTCGGTTGGTGGATGCACCTGCATTCCCCAGTGAATGATGGTATTCCCACTCGAACTCGAACCCACCAGAAATCGTTTCACACACCACAGCGTTATCCACTAGACGAAAAATAATTGATTCCCATTGAACGCGAGTTGGCTGCCGTAACCCAAGTGGTCTGTTGAGTCCGACTCTCAGAGAGAACACTATCACTTACTTGGGAATGCAAACACGTCCAACCGACGAGTCCCGAATAAGACGAAATTCGCTTCCTGGGTAACACTTCTGGTCACCACCTACCAAAAGTTTTTAACTGCTTTCATATCAAATGTCACTATGTTACATACCCCTAATTTCGCCCTTCCTTAAAACCACCTGAAACCATTCTAGATAAATTTAAGCCATTGGGATGAGGCAGGTTATTTATTGTAATGAGATTATACAAATTTAAAGCGCGAGTTTATACAACCAATTAAACTAGTTACTTATTAGCTAAACTTACCGAGGTACCCTTGTATAATAATGGTCGATTGTCCTCATGGGTTCAAGCAATTCTGTCTCTTGCCTGAGTGTCAGAGATGATTAGAAATCAGTATTGGGTATTCTGTCATCAGGTAAGTTAATTATCGCCATTGGGTTCCGTGAAAGTATTTGAGGGTTGATCACAGAGGTAGTCTTCCAACCTGGAAGCCCTGGATTTGGCCCTTGGCTATGGGGACGTGAATTTGTAATACTGAAGAGTAAGTCGCAAGTACCTCCTGGTGTCAATTTGTGATCTCTAGTTTGTGTATTATTTGTCTGAAATTTAAATATGCTGAGTTATAAACTGACCAATTTTTTTATTTGGTAAAAAAAATACTTTATGGCTAAAATAATGAACAGTATATAGTTTCAACCTTCTTTCAAGATTGCAGCTATGTCTTGTGTAAAGGTACCTCAAGAAAACTGAAGCATAATTGAAGCAGGGATTCCTGTTAACTTACACCGAACAGCATTTAGGGGGACTGGATAGTTGCACACTAGTAGTCACAAGTCGATGACCAGTTCATTTGTAAAGTTTTTTTTCAAAAGAATGGATGCTGAAGAAAAAGTACTCTTTTCGATAAATTCATCGTCATCAGGTTCTACAATTATACATACATTATAGTGAAGGAATGAATTAGTGTTATGAACAACGATGATGCTGTTTAAATAACATCGAATCAATAATGTTGATAGATTACAGCTCAATAACATCAGTATAAAAATAAACTGAATGTCAGAAAAATTAGGAAAGGTAATATTACGAATTCATGAGCTTATAGTTTCTACTTAGGGCCAGGGCAGTAGTAGGGGCTGGACATGTTTCTTTTGGACACAGAGCACTGGTTGTTTGAGGCGAATTGCAACAGCCTCCACTGTTTGGAGCATGCGATGCTTCGATGATTTTGGTAGTTTGTTAGGCACCCGGTATATTATAGAGAAGGATTCTTCTACGCTGGTTTTGTGACCGGTTTGCACCAGATGGTCTAATATCGAGCTGTTAATAGTTTTAACTACACCTTTACTTAGTCATGGTGGGAAATGTTCTCAAGCACGAAAAATCAAGTTCCTAGAGCGACGGCCAATATAACTCGCTCCAGCACAAGTGCAGTTGAATTGGTAGATACAATTTAAAGTGGCTAGTCTAGGTACTTCATCTTTCAGTCGAGGTAACACCATCGGTCGTGTAGAGAATAATACGTGTAGTTCACCAGCATTAAAAGTTCTTTGAACTGATTTTCTTAATTTCCTCGTAATTATCTCACTTGGTATATCACCCTTGAATTCCTTTACGTTCCCAATGGAACATAGGGCTTCAAGCTGGAAGCTTGAAATTTCGGTAGGAGTGGTGTTTATTTTTGCGGGATGGAGTTGCTATCCTCATGCCCAGCATTCCCTCTTTACCAGTCTTACTACTGGCTTAGCGAGGTAAAGGAATGCATCGGCCGGAGGTCGAACCCCGGACTATGCGCCTGATCGGCGAGCATACTACCTCTGTGCTACCGACGCACAATTTGTGTAGTTAATATTGATGAATAATATTCGCGCAATGTTATATACCCCTTGGATTTTGATCGAAGTAGAATTTCAGGTTTAGTGCGGCTGAAGCCCGAAATTATACTGCAGCCAATTAAGTTACACATTATTCTCATGGTCTCGGACCAGTGTGTCTCGTATCTTTATTTGTTTAGGATCTTGGGGTCAGAGGTGGTAGGAGATTAATATCTGGTCTTAAGATGGGTCGTTTCATCCTGGTTTGGAACTCTTCTTCAGTACGCATCCACCGCGTCTCGAACTGGGTACCTTCCGCTTAAAAGGCAAGCTCGTAGGCTATTCAGCCAATGGGACTCGACTCAGTATCCCATGAATTCTAGTACTAATTCATGGTTTCAGGGCACAACCGTCAGCCAATGTCATGGATGAGTATTTATCCTCACTACCGATCCAGTGAACCTAAACTGGTCATGACTTCTCATTAGAGGACTCCAGACTGAATCGTCTACGATCTTGTCTTGTAAGCAGAGGTTCCTGAGATCAAACCCCGGAGGGTTCGTACTGATGAGGAGTTCCAAACTAGGAAGAATCAGCTCCTCGATACTTCCTGCCGGTTTTCAATGGTTCTCTAATTCGTTATCAAACTTAATATATTTCCCTAATGTCACCTACTTTTTTTGTCTCTCTTGTTATTCAACGCATAGTGGAACACATGTTGAAACTGATTTTGTAGAATGTCCATCACAAATGTTAGAGAATTGGGTTTGGTGTGAAGAGGGATTGAATGCATTACTTGGTACTGCTTCTGCTACTACTACTACGCCTACGTCTATTACGGAGAATAGTCAAAAGATACCAAAAGATATGTTGAATAGCTTAATCAATTCTCGAATGGCAAATGCTGGTCTCTTCTATTCTAGACAACTTTTATTAGCTACATTTGATCAAGCTATACACACCACAAAATGGAAAGTGAGTCATATTCATGTGTATTTATCTATCTGTCTGTCTGTCTGTCTGTTAATTTTTATGCATTTATTGGATGACTCTAAACTATAACAGCCCAAAACGAAACTGCCTCTAGCGACCAATCAGATTTGTAAGAAGTAGAAGTGCGCGATTTGAAATAAACGTCTATATACAAGTAATGCAATATTTTAAAAAAAATGGCTACATGCGATAATATTCTTGTACGTGTTCCAAAAAACATCCCAATTTCTCACGGGAGTCCTCATAGTCAGGTTAAACCAATTTCTGTAAATAAATTCGTCAAGGTCATCAATCCGTTCATCATTAGGTAGTTCAGTTTTGGGCTGCTATAGTTTAGAGTTCCCATTTATTGTTCCATCATAGAGTAAATTTATTCGATCAAAGTATCACTTACCCACTGATGACTGAGTATAGTTTATTGCTCATAATCACCCCATATCAAGTCACTTACATAACTTTTCAGCTTCGTTTAGTTTTGTGAGTGCTGGTGGAGGTGTGACTGACGAGATCTCCAACCATATAGTGAAAGCTATGGTGGCACACGACCATTTAGGCCACATTTGGTGCCGTTCTGACGTCAGCCTATCTGTTAAAAGTCGAGATTATAATGCCTCAATGTGTGCTTTCTTGCTCTTCACCTGTACAAACTTGACTCTCTGAGCTGAGGATGTGCAGCAACTCGGCGTATTCCATCATTGCTTTCTCTGTAGGCCTGCTCGTATCCGATAGCATCATTGTGTGAATAAATCTGAGGTCTGGAAGCATGTGTTTGAAGATGGTGGGAGTTCCCATTCACTGAGTGTGGTCATCTTAAAACACCGGCTTCGGTGGCTTTGATATGTTCTATGAATGTCGTCCCAGAGATTTCCATACCGATCTCTGTTCGCTACCCTTGGGACCGAATGGGAAAAGTGGAAAGGTGGTCAACCTATGGATAGTGATGTCATGGGATGAAAGATATTTACTGTTAGGTTAGCACCAGTTGGTACATCATGACTCCTGCTGGTTGTGGTCCGAGAGATAGTTCGAATCAGTTGCTCGAAACGTTATCAGATATCTCCGAAAATCGTAATCAATGGCAAACATGCTGCGATTCTCTTCTTTCTTCCTTTTTTGAAAGTAAGATGAGAGCCATGTAAAAGTTTCATTGTTTAATCATTTTTATGTTCAGTTCTTTTACATCGTCTAATATAAACCGTATCTACAATATGAGAGGGAGAAATGCAGTTATATTACAAATTCAAGTACCGTGCGATAAAATTGAACATTGGACAATATGACATGAGTTCCAGTTGTTTTACTCTACAAAAGTATTTGAATTAAGAGAAATGACGATAAGATCTTAAAATAAACCAGAAAAAAAGGCAGACATATTCAAAACTGATGTAGTTTTACATAAAACAGAAATAGTTTTAAAAAAACGGTGTTGAATTTACACTTGAAATCCCTTACAACACAATGAAGATGCATTCATCTTCCTTTTGTTGGTTTACAGGGAATGATCACCAGTTAACATCAGTCAGAGGAGGAGTAATGAATATATGTTTCGTCCCATTTTGAAGGGACCCTTCGGCAGTACCTACCCACTGGGTTTGAAACCCTATAACCTTCCAGTTACACTGTGACTCCGTAGACTATTCAACCACTGTAACCTGACGTAATGACTAGTCTGTGAATTCCAACTTCTGACAATTGTCAGGATTTAGCACAGGCGAATAACTGTCCCAGTGCCTAACTTTGTGAACCCTGTTGGTTATGATTTCTCACCAAACAAACTTCCAATGGTTCTCTAATTGATATTCTCATTCATCTCGTTCATTATGTGAGATAGGGTTATGGATGCTAATATCTTACTTTGTTTGTGAAATATATCATATAGCGATAATCAGACATTGAAAAAAAGAAACTGAACAAAGAATATCCTTTTCGACAGTTTCCTCTTCTGGCTCTACAATTATATATATGCTTATATACACAGAATATTCTAGATTAGTAGTCAATAACAATATTAGTGTTTCAGCATTGCATCATGAGGTGACATTGGTTAGAGAACCATTGGAAAACCTGGGAGTACTGGATAGCTGTTTCGTCCTAGTTTGGGACTCTTCAACAGTGCGCACCCACCGGGATTCGAACTCAGGACCTTCTGGTTGCAAGGCGAGCTCGTATACCTTTAAGCCACTGGGACTCGATCCCATCGCCCATGAGATCTAACTTCTGCCAATTCACGATATAGCGGCGAGTATTTGTCCACATGCCCAACCTGCTGCACCCTACTGGTCACGACTTCTCACTAGAACCCCAGGTAACTACCTACCTGAATAGGGCAAGTCTCTAGTGAGCATCTCATTGATATTCAAGTGTTGGTTCGTAGGGATTTGATTGGTTACAGGATTTCATCCTGAGGTGATATTAGTTAGAGAGCCATTGAAAAACTAATGTCACCTCATGATGAAATCCTGTAACCAATCAAATCCCTACAAACCAACACCTGAACATTAGTGTTTTTTAAATAATATCTATTTGTTAAGTAAGATCACAATGGAATCACAGTTCATTAAAGATGCTTAAATTACAATAAGCGTCGGTGGCACAGTGGTTAGGACCCTCGCCGACCATGCACATGGTCCGGGGTTCGATCCCCTGCCGACGCACACCTGATATCTATGGTCGGCCTGCAAAATTTGGGCTACCGATATCCATGCTGAAAATTCCATACTTGTACTGAAAATACGGTGTGGAATCAAGCTGTAAAATCAAAATTAAAAAAAAATTAATGTAATAGCAAATAGAATATCAACTAAAATTTGGAAAGTTCCACAAAACTGAGGATCATTTGAACCTAGATGGCCAGCTGGGTAAGGACAACGTCTGAACTAACTCCTTTTGGACACATAAATTAGTCTTCTTTATGTGGATTCCAACAGTCAGCCTCAGCAATATTTAGTCAACGAACTCTTAAGGCGAAATTAAGATTTGTTGGTATGCCGTAAATGACTTTGAAAGCTGCCTCGTTGACATCAGTCTTGTGTTGTTCTGTATCCACAAGCTGAGTTAGAATAAAGTTACGAATGGATTTTTTTGTCCTTTACCTATTAATATATATTATTATTCCCTTGGGTTCTGAATGGAATATGAGGCCTCAACAACAAATCTTCACTTTCTTCTATTCTCAGCCGTCCTCCTCAGCCGGCTAGCTCCACGATTCCCCATTATCTCTCATATCCTCCTCCCCACACTATCCCCTCCATGTCACCCTTGCACTGATGACCCACTCATCATTTCCCATTTGGATACCACTTGAGCGATGGCCTGCATTAAGTGCGATGTCATTCGATGGTTTCTTTGATGTACGCTCGATTTATCTCCATTTCCTCCTACATATTTGTTGATAGATGGGCTCTTGGTTGGTTTGTTCCACTGTAGGGTTTCTTGTTACTAATTCTTTCTGACTGACCATTTGATCTTCAGTATGCAGCCAACCGGCGAAGGTGGCAGGTGTTGATGAAAGTCTGCTGTAGCCTGTTGGATATCCTTTTCGTGACACACCAAGTTTCTGACCCGTGTAGACGGACCAACTTGACATTGGTGTTTAAAAACCGAATTTTGTTCCTTATGCTGAATGCAGAAGGTGTATGTTGCTTTTCAGATTCTGGCTGGCCTGCTTCGACATCTTCATCCTTCCCGACTGCCTGTGGTTGAAACCGTGCTTTCTGGCTGGATAAGTAAAGGCAGGAAGTAACCTATGTCAAGTCTCACCCGTTGATGGTGATTGGTGCTGGTTGATGTTGCCGTCGGTTCGTTGGTCTAGCGTATTCCTCTCTCCTCGCTCCCCACAGTCTGATGCATAATTTAGTCCACTACAATTAAGAATATCATCAGTGATAATAGGCAGGCAGCTTTATCTTACTCCTGTATTCACTTCGAACGCCTTGCTTAGTTTCCCGTTGTGGATCACCTGACACATGTCATTGTCCTAAATTCAGCTCCTGAATGAGGTTGATAAAGACTTGAAGTACAACGTAATAGTATTTGAAAAATACCAATATTGTTAATGACGACTAATCTAGAATATTGTATGTATATAAAAGTATAATACATAATTGTAGAGCCAGAATAGGAAATTATCGAGAAGGATATTCTTTGCTCAATTTCGTTTTTCAAAATATAGAAATAAAGTGAAATATTGGAATACACTAGTCTATTGATTACAATTATAATTACCAAAGTCTCAAATTATTATTCTAAGACCCTGTCGATAAGATTAAGAGTTTTAAAGTTGAATTCTAGACAGTTACCGTCTACTGTCTCTATTCTGTATTTCCTCTACTTTCTTCTTTTGCTTTGTGTACTACATGGAGTGTGGCGACTTGAACTGTTGCACATCGGTGCAAATTTATATGTCGAAAACAGACTGACAGACAGACAAACACAGAGTTACCGATATTGATGACAAGTAATATTGAACAGTTTAAAAGGCAATGTAACATTATTGCCTCGGATGGTTGAAGGTAGTCGGAAGGAAGGACTGCCTGAATCTAAGTTTCCGGCTATTTATTTAAACACTTGACCCGTCAATAAGACGTATGTATAATCTTGAAGCAATTAACAGTTCCCTCTGGTATTGGAACCCTTGTCATACAGCACTGCAGTCAGAAATGTTACCATTGAGTTATGGGATCTTACAATTAATCTTCTGTAGGATTCTAATTGATACTCTGATTGGTTGTCACTAGGTAGTAACTAATGTTATGATTTTAGTGCTTTTGCTGCAGACTGAATTCTATCAATCTTCAATGTACTTTGACATTTGAAATGATGAATACCAGATTTCAGTTTGAATGAGAGCGCTATTGATTACTGGGATGGATACACAGCAACGTCGAGCTGATGTCTCTCAAATAGGGAGAAACACGAGTCTTAGATTTCACCGTTATCAACTATGAAACAAATAACATTATGACAATGTGTTTGTTTTATATTGATATAATATAATATTTAAAGAAAGAAAGGGGTGCATTAAATACAGTAAAGTTCATTGCCGCTCACTCCCCTACCTCTCAAGTTCTATATCCTGATTAAAAGGGATCACCGTAGGACAAAACACGCATTTTGCTGCTAAACATCACAGTCAGTTAAATACTTTGTTTACATTCGAAATTTCGCTGGTGATATTTATTGATTTAGAATATAAAGATTACATAGTCCTACCTTCTGGGTGAAGACGCTGACAAAATGCAGAGTCTTCTCAGCACCTTGAGGAGCAAAAATCTTCAAATGTTAGGCATACGATTCGCTCCTGCTGTTAAATGTAAGATGATGTGTTACAGGACTGAACTATATCGAATCACTTAGAAATGGGGAGTAAAGTGGCTGATGTAGCATGTTGACCACTTCATTTATTTGGGGAGTTGCATCAGCCCGCGTCAACGAGTTGATGGCCGATGAAATCTCAGTATGGATACCGAGGACTCGTTTGGCATATGCCATCTCTGGCTTACTAGACGTGATATCCGGCTATCGATCATGGGACGTGCGTACTCCACAGCATCTCTCTCTGTGCTACTTTACGGCTGTGAGTAATTCATGGCTATTGGAAGTGGAAGACTGTCTTTGATCATAGTTGCCTGCGTTCTATCTCCCGTGTTAAGTAGCATAACCAGGTGAGTAATATTGAGATTAGACATCGGTCGAGTGTTAGGTAAGGAGGAGGAAATCAGTCGACAAGGTTGTGAAGTTCCATCGATTGAAGTGGTTGGGATATGTGTTACGCATGCATTCCTAGCCGTCGCCTTTCTCCTCGACAGGCAAGGTTAGCTGACATAGGATCAGGTTGGAAAACAGCTAGTGTGGTGAGAGCACGTGGTGGTCGAACCAAAACATGACTTCATCAGTCAATGAAATCCACAACAGTTAGTTTAAGCCAGCCAGCCACATAGGAAGGCGTAAACTTCCAGACTGGTTGAGGTCCCAGGGATGTTAAAAACCAGAGACTGGAGACAATCGGTGATATGGCTCAGAATCTTTCTCAATGGCTGGCGTAGATGCATTCACTCCTTGGGATTCATTATATCCAGTAAAACTATTGTTCTTCCTTATTATTATTCTTTTTACCTCATATTTCTGTTTATTATCTCTGTTTTGAATCTATCCTTACTCTCTTCTCTTGCTTTGTGTGCTACATGGGGGGAGTGTGGCGACTCGAACTGGTGCACATCTGTGCGAACTTCTATTTTGAAACCAGTCAGTCTTTCAGACGGACAATAGAAGCGTCGCAACTAAATGCCTTAGGTTAGCGAATTCAGCCACATGAAAAACATATTAACTCTTTGAATAAATGTGTCGACGTTGATTTGATTTCTAACTCTCATACCTGTTTGAAATTCGTTCATGAATTGATGTTAGTTAGAGGACCGAGGGAAACCAACAAGGAGTACTGAACATCTGTTTCTCCCTTTTTTGGAGCCCTTCATCTCAGTACCCACCCAGAGGGGTCTGAGTCCACGACCTTCCGGTTACAAGGCGAGCTCGTAGGCCATTCAGCCACTAGGACCTGGCCCAATGATTAGTCACTGAACTCTAACTTCTGCTGATTCTTAATCTTAGCGTGACCTCCAGCCACTATCATTGTTGAGAAACTGTCCTCACGCCCGACCTGGTGAACCCAGCTGGTCACGACTTCGCCGAAGAATTCCAGGCAACTTCGTCCTGTATTCAGCCACTAGCAAGCATCAGAATAATTTTCGGAAGTTGATTTGTAGGGATTTGATTTATTTCAAGTCTAATCACTGATTGATATCAGCTAGTAACCAGAGGATCGTGTGTTCGAACCCCGGTGGGTGGGTACTGCTAAAGAGTCGCAGACTACGATGATTGAACAGCTGTCCAGTACTTCTTGTTGGTTTTCAATGTTTATTTAACTGAAAATAATCCGTGATTAAAATTGAAACAAATCCAATCCGTACAAACTCAATTTCATACTTGTTTTTGATCTTTGGTGGTGGTGGCCGTCAACGAGGTCCAAGATGTTGTGTACTTGTTGTTATCTTCTACACTTCTGTTTTCTCTCCCTCTCTCTTCTTCTAGGATGATCCAGTAACTACTTTCAAAGATTTAAGTGTTAAATGGACAGGAAATGAACCTATACAAGGTACATTCATGCCTGCATCATTCGGACATTTAGCTGGAGGATATGATGCGCGATATTATAGTTATTTGGTGAGTTTATTATTAATAACAATGATAATAATACCTAATCTTGAGTTTTTATGAATTGTATATATGTACAGTATCATGAATATGTCGAAATCATTGTGTTTTTGAATAATTGTAGGGATTAGAATTTTGTTGGACCAAAGTGTTCTGTCTTTCTTAACATATTGTTGGATCCTAGTAGAGAATCTCTTTGATAATGACTTAGAGTTAACATGATATCATGATATCACTTTTACTGCTCATGTGGAGCCAGTTACATAGACCGTACAACTGGGCGTGTTTCTCGTCGAATTTCCGAACATCACCCTGTGTGATTAAGTAAAGGGCAAACCAAGTCTATTCGTAGCACTACTCTATCTCATCTTGTGGATACAGAACACATGATTGATGTCAACGAGGCGGGTTTCAAAGTCATTTACCGCATACCAACTAGTCTTAACTTCACCTTAAGAGTTCGTTTACTAAATATTGCTGAGACTGGTCATTGGGATCGACATTAAGAAGCCTAATATATGTGTCCAAAAGATGCTAGTTCAGACATTGTCGTTACCCCGTTGGCCATCTAGGTTCGAATGATCCTCAATTTGTTGTTGCAGAGATTTCCTTAATTTTAGTTTTTTTTATTACAGCTTGATTCCACACCGTATTTTTGGTACAGGTATGGAATTTTCACCATGTGAATCGGTAGCCCAAATTTTGCAGGTCGACCATAGATATCAGGTGTGCGTCGGCAGGGGATCGAACCCCGGACCATGTGCATGATCGGCGAGAGTCATAACCGCTGTGTCACCGACGCACAGTATTCTATTCGCTATTATATCTTTATTATTATAATTGAAACATCTTTAATGAACTGTAATGCCATTCATCTTACTTTACAAATCGATGTTATTTAAAGAACACTCATATTTTCTATAGTTTGTTTTGTAAGGGTTAGTTTTGTTTTTATGAGTTGATCACGGATTGATATCAGGTAGAGGACCATTGAAATCACGAATTGGTGGAATTTAGAATTCATGAGGCATTGAATCGGGTCCCAGTAGCTGAATAGTATATGAGCTTGCCTTGTAACCGGAAGTTCCTGGGTTCGAACCCCAGTGAATGCGTACTGCCGATGATTCCAAAACTAGGATGAAACAGCTGTCCAGTAATTCCAGCTGGTTTTCAATGGTTCTCTAACTAATATCAATCCGTGATCAACTCGTAAAAACATTAATATCGTTATTGACTACTATTCTAGAATATTCTATGTATATAAACATATATATGTGATTGTAGAGCCAGAAGAGGAAATTATCAAAAAGGATATTCTTCGCTCAATTATTTTGTTTCTTTTTATAGATGTCTGAATGAATGTTTTCGCTATACTGATATCATTTAGTTGTATGCTGAATAAGTCTTCTGAGTTCGAATCGATGAGTGCTACATTCGAATCTCATTGGGAAGACGAATGAAGAAGTCTGAAGTGGGACGAAACACCCGTCCTGAATTCCACCGCTGGCCACCATCAGCTGAGTTCAACTAGGTGAATATAGTAATGAGTAATATTGAAGTTAGATGTATAATGTGTTAGGTGAGGAAGGAAAGTCATTCAAGGGAAGATCGTGAAGCTACATCAATTGAGGAGACGGCTAGTTAGGATACTTGTTACGAATGTCAAGGAATCATCTTCCCTGACAGTCAGTGTTAGATGACTGACATAAGATGATTTTGTTTTTGTTTTTCATTCACGTTCCCCAGTGGAACATAAGGCTTCAAGCTAGTGGCTTGAAGTTTCTGTAGCAGTGTTTATTTTACAGGATGGGGTTGCTAGCCTCATATCCAACCTTTCCTCTCTGCCAGCATTATTTCTGGCTTAGCAAGGTAAAGGAGTGCCTCGGCCGGGGATCGAACCCCGGACCATGTGCATGGTCAGCCAGCGTCCTAACCGCTATGCCACCGACGCATAGATTGGAAAAAAGTTAGGAGTGATTATATTGAAATATAGCGTCTTTGAGTGTTGGCGATGATATGGTTGAAAATTGTTCTCATTATTGCAAATGCATTCACTCTTTATGAATTCCTAAATCTATTCACATAGAGTGTGACACCTTGTGAGTTGTCGTAGAGTTCTATGCTGATAATTCAGTCTATCAAATTTTAGTTTTATAGTTTTATTTCATTCCTAAGCGAGTGCTATCTACGTTTTAATTCATGGATAATCCCCATCCAGGCATTAATAATAATAATAATAATGAGTTACTTTATTCCAAAAACAGTACTTGTGATACAGAATGGAATTTTCAGCATTAATCACAATATTCCATCTAATTTCCTCAAATTAAAAATAAAATTAATCACACGGAAAATTTTCTACATTTGCAGTAGGGGCAATGTCAAAAAACATGCAGCATATAAAATGGAAATAATAATAATAATGTTAGCAGCTAAGGTAATGATAATAATACAAGTGGAAATTGCCGTGGGCTTGTTTCACACAGTATTGTCGATGTGGTATACAAATCCTTACATGATTAAAAATATTGAATATAATGTTCTTTTTACATGATATGGTGAGGGAAAAAACAAAGATTACAGCAGTCATAGAGATAAGTTGGTGTTTGCAGTTATGAAAGTAAAAACAAAGAATCAACAGGACCATAAATATAATAGAAATAATAAAAGTAAAACTTGAAGGTATATAAAGATGGATGGAGGAGATTGTTTATTTACTGAATGAAAAAAGGTTAGTCAATTCTTGCCTGACGCTAATTTCATCACATAAAATACGTGCCAAGTATGGTATCATAGAATTTTTATACTTCGACGTGCGAGCATACAGCTTTCTGAAGTTACTTCTTGTTCTACCTGAGGCGATTTAAGGTGAAAGCTGAGGGTGAAGTGGATGCTCCAAGTCAGACGAAATCCCTTTAGCGAATTTACTGCACAAAGTCAACTGCCTATCGACAACGACGTTAACTATGTAGTCCACTGGGACACCACTCATCCTACTGATAGTCTTCAGCAATGACACAAAGTAATATAATTTACAAAATACCTCATAGTGGCCGTGAGTTAAGTCAGCAACAACATTGGTCAAACTAGTAGGTCGGGGGTGGTCAGATTGTCGGAACATAAGAATTTAGCTAAGGTAAGAATGGTTGACCCAGAGAAGATAAGTAATTTAGAAAAAAGCTCAGCAATTGCAATGCATGCATTAGCACACAACCACACAATAGGGTGGGAGAGGGTTAAAGTTCTATAGAGTAACATAGGTAGGTGGAGAGAGAGGTTGATTACGGAATCCTTATTCATCGAGTCTACACCCAACAGATGCAATGGAAATGACTGAATGCAAATACCAGTGATATGGAAGATATTATTACCGCCGGTCAAATCAGAAGAGAATAATAAATAATCTTAATATTATATTTCAATTCAAACACATCACAACATTCGAAGAAGTAACTTATTATGACTATAGAAACACTCGTTTTATTTCCCATCTAATTGTAATTGATCAATAACACTCGTATTGTTATGATTTCTGAATGTACATTATCTCATATTGAATTTTATTCCAATATCTAATCGATCCCACACATGTATATAAATGAAGGAAAGAAGTTGTGTGAGTAATGTCTTGATATGATTATGAGTGGCAATAATTTGTGTTCGAAACGTCATCAGTTAATATTACTGTATAACACCACTATGTGATTTATCAAAATAAAATCTTATCCATAATGGAGTTATGCTCTACCACAGTGCCCAAGTTTTATACTTATATGGTAGATACTCTTTCAAATGTCTTCCCTAAATAAATTGTGTTATCTTTGAAACCTGTGGTTGTGATAGTGAGACTTTCTGAGTGGTAGTCTTCAGTTAGGAAGGCGGCTATTAATGTGTAGTGGATACTTCGGTCAACTATCACCGATGATATTCCTGACTGTGTTTGATTGGATCAAGCACACCACGTGGAAGGCTATGGGGATCAAGAAGGCAGAAATATGTTGCGCTGACAAGAAGACTCTTGAAGACTTAGACTTCGCTGTCACATAAACTCGAACATCTACAAATTAAAAGCAATAAGTTGTCAAAAGAAACAGGTATTGATAGCAGGACATAGAGAAAACAGAGTTGATGAAGATGCCTAGCCACCATCAACATTTTCCTTTGCTTAAGTGTTCAGTAATAGCTTTTTGGCGGGGAGTCGTGGCTTGTGGAGCACAGCAGGTCGGGTGTGGACATTGGCTAGTGGTCGCTCTATATCGTGAATTGGCAAATTTGGTATTACTCCATTATAGATAAGATTCTATTTTGATAAATCACACAGTATTGTACAGTAATATTAACTGATAACGTTTCGAGCACGAATTATTACCTCTAATAATCATATCAAGTCACTAGTCACACGACTTTTCGCTGCATTTATATACATGAGTAAAAATCGATATTAGACATTTGAATAAAATCAATATAAGATAAAATGCATTCGGAAATAATATTAGTGTTATCAATAAAATACAATAAGATGGGAAATAAGATGTCTCTATAGTAAAATAAATAGCTTGCTGGAGCGTTATAGTGTAAATTGAATACATTTTGAAATTATTTATTATCCTCTGATTTGACTGGTGGTAATAATATCTGCCAAACCTCTGGTATCAGTGATTATGTGTCACTTCTATTGCATGTGTTGTGTTGGGTGTAGACTCGATGAACCAGGATTCAGCAATCAATCTCCCTCTTCACCTACATGTATTACGTTTTAGAATTTTGACTCTGTCCCATCCACCCTATTGTGCGGTTGTGTGTTCATGCATGCAGTGCAATGTAGTGCTGAGTTTTATCCTAAATTACTTATCTTCGCAGGTTCAATCATTCTTACCTTAGCTAAATTCTTATATTCCGATAATCTGGCTTCTCCTGATCAACTAGTTTGACCTGTGTAGTTGACCTAACTCACAGTCATTGCAAGGTATTTTGTAAATTATATTATTTGTTTTATTGGGTCAACTGGGTTGTTTAGCCTACAAAGCTTGTCTCTGAGTGAGTTTGTAGGTTTGAATGCCACCCTAATTCCTGCTTTGTTGGATCGAGTCGCAGTAGTTGAATGGTCTACGAACTCGCCTTGTAACCAGGAGGTCCTGGGTTCAAACCCCGGTGGGTGAGGCCTTCTGATGAAAAGTCCCAAAATAGAAAGAAACAGCTGTCCAGTACTCCCCCAGCTGGTTTTCCAATGGTTCTCTAACCGATATCAGCTCATAATGAAATCCTGTAAGCAATCAAATCACTGCTGGCTCGTTACCGGAGTTCCCTGTTGTCCTTATCCTTTCTGGCTATCTTATTTTCAGTATGGAGCCAACGAAGAAGGAATTTTACAGCGGCTTGTTGGACATGCTTTCACTGACGGTACAGAGCCACTGACTGACTTGATATTAGTCCTGAAAATCCCAACCTTGTTCTTTATATTGGTGGCAGCAGTAGATTTTCACACTGATTTCGGATTAATGAAAGCCCTCCGTCCCTGGCTAGCTTTGACATTCTCATCTGTAATACCGCCTGTAGTTATAGCTACACTGCCTAGATAATTCAACGATGTGACTCCCTACAAATTTCTTCCGCTGATGGCGATTGGTACTTATTGTTGTTGTCAGCTTGTTGGTTATCTTAATCACCTCTGTCTTTTATGTGTTCCTGTCTTCACAGCCTGCTTCTTCTACTAGCTTGTTGATTTACACCAATAGATCTTCAAATTTGTTTGACATTTGACATAAATCATTATATTCAAAATTACTAAAATCAATTAATTATCGATTTTTCTTTATTTTTACTTTTCTTCTAGTGGAGTGAAGTGTTTAGTGCTGATATGTTTGAATCACGTTTCAAGTGTGCAGTAGACGGTGGATGTATGAGTCAATGTGTTGGACGTGATTACAGAGAGAAAATTCTCTATCCAGGTGGTTCAAAAGATGCTATAGATATGTTAAAAGACTTTTTAGGTCGTGAACCTAATGATAGAGCTTTCTTTAAATTATTAAATGTTGAAGCATAATCTACTTAATTTTTGAGTTTTCTTTTGAAGTTTTAATCTTTTGATTACTCTTTTTTTTAATTTTGATCAACGTAGCATTATTTCTTTGCTTTCGTGTACTTTTCTTTATGACATAATTTTAAAGTAATGTTGACTTGGTTAACACTCATTTATGGCTGATCATGTCTTGTCTGACAGTTTATTTGTGCTATGAAAATATAATCCGTGTTTTTAAATTTGTCGTTGTGCATTTTTCCACTTTTCTTCGTTTCCCCTGAAGTTAATTGTAGGCAAACTTTCATCTGTGTACACGAGTTCCCTTCTGTATAAATTTGAACAGAGATAGGAGAAACATTGGTTCAGAGAATAATATGAATCCACCGTATTTCGTCGATTTTTCATCGTCCGATGCATACAAACTTTAATGCTTAGTAAGGCAAGTTAAAGTGAAACGACAGAAGACAAGAGCCAGGCAACAGATCGTTTATTGAGACAATCAGGAGATATTAATAGATTTTTATGTACATTATTATTAGCGTTATTGTTAGCAGAGAAGCAACCTCTTCTAATTGGTTTCTCTTGCTGAAGGTTATTCTGTACTGCCTGTGGCCATTTCTCAGAAAGTTAAGCCATATATCTGCGAATCTTACTCGTACACGTTAAGTCTGATGTGATTGGTTGTTGAGTTCCTCAAGGTTAAGCTTTGATGTTGTTTTCTTCTCATGACCCCGGTTCGGGACGTAACATTGACGTAAATTGCTGTCTACAATTTTCGGCTTGCAGCTAGCTCTCACCACAATAGTACAATTTTAACATTGATTATTTTATGCATCGTCATGCTGAATCAGTCCTGCAGTAAGTAAGGGTTGTTGTAAAAACATCCTGGTGTGAATTAAAACAATAAGGATAATAAGGATTTCTCAAACTTAATATTATATACAGGGTGATGCAGATTGATAGAAAGCTGCCCAAAACTGAAATCAATATTTAAGTCAGTAGCTGTAGCGTAAGTGGAAGTGTTTATTCCTCAAATCTGGATTTAGTTTACGTTGTGGATTTGAAATGATCTCATTGGTCGACTTGTTTAACCCTGGACCAGTTGCCAGCCAATCAGAATAACTTACTGTCCTCTGATCTAGCCACGTTTTAATATGGCTGAGGATGCATATATTTGATTTGTTTGTCCTTAATAAAGGTCCTTTAGCAAGTCCGTTACCTTACCCCGTTACATGTATACATATATTATAAAAGTGGAGTTTTTCGTAGAAATGGGGAAATTTTTTGCTAGAGTGATGATAAATGAGTGATAATTGCGTAATCAGAGATAATTAAATACATTGGCTAGAACTCATATGATGGGAAAATCAGAATTTAGTATGTTAAATGAGAGTTCATTGGAAAGGTGGTGATGACGTAATACAATGAGTAGAACAATCAAAAATTACCTCTAAAATAGGAGTCAAGCAAAAAAAATGAGGTAGGGTGAAAACAGATTTGTGAAGTAAGAAAACAAGCGGTCTACTAAATACCTCAATCATTGTCGTATTAATCTACTTATCACAAGGTAAAAACAGTGGTATTTGCTGAACATCGAAGTTTAGAACACACTTTGATGTTCGTAGTCATACTAATTATAACTACGAAACTTCGAAATTTGATTTGTATAGTTCTCTTCCTTCCTTCCCATTTGTTATAGGAATAGTAGGATGTTCCTGATGCTTAGGATAAGTGTTGAATCATTCCAATCACGCATGTATTCTCGACTGATTAGATAACTAAGGTTGAAATCAATTGTCAATCTCTCCTTCTACTTTTTAATCTAAAATCTTAAGACTGTCGCACTTTCCGATCCTGTTTTAGGCTTATTTATAACTTCGCATGGTGCTTTAGCTGAGCTATTTTCTAAATTTCTTGTTTAATAATTGTCAGGTAATCTATATTTTGCTAGTTTTCGGTGTTCTGCAGTAGTCTGATTGACCCCGAATTACTACTTTGATTTGTGTATTCGATCTCACAATCGTTGCAGAGTACCAGGTAAACTAAATTATTAGTGTAGGTACCGCAGGATCTTCTAACTGATATAAATTGTTCCTGAGTGAGTTTCTACGTTGAGAGGAGTGCTGTAATTACTTTAAGTGTTACAAAGCTTAATATCTGTTGTGCCATTCTCCACTCTGTCAGCGAGAACATCTTGCGACTACTTTTATCCCAACTCTTCTTGTTAAATCCATTATTTCTTTCACATTCTGTAACTGTTTGAATTTAGTATCTTCCAATACGCAATGAAACATATTTATTATCTCAAGTTACTGGTAGTCATGAATTCCAATACCAGACTTAATTGACTTCCCATTCAAAGTTGAGAACATCTATTCTCAAAGGCAGCCGCTAGTGATAAAAGAGATATTGATCAACTAATTTGTGTAAGATAAGCACGAGTTAGAAGACTTTCGAATTGTAAAATACTCTATAGGCTGTTCCACAGTTCCTTAATTTTCTGACAGAAACAACAAATACTCACAGTAGGAGAGTAATTGTAATGCTCCTATAATCACAAGAACCCCAAAATATATTTCATTTATTTTATTTTACTAAAGCTTGATTCCTCACAGTATTTTGGTACAGGTGTGGAACTTTCAGCATGTGATGTCGGTAGCCCAAATTTAGCAGGCCGACTACTGATATCAGGTGTGTTTCGGACAGAGTTCTAACCCCGGACCATGTGCATGGTCGGTGATCATCCTAACCGCCGTGCCACTGATGCACACTTAGCTCGAGCAATGCTAAGGCGTCTGCACATAGAGTCCATGTCCAGATAAAGATCAATTCACAATACGGACATAGCTAGGAAGAACGGACGTCTGTTCTCTACAGATATTCCTTTCTTAGAATTTAAAAAATCGATATGAGCTGGCACATAGTAGAGGCTCTAAAAGAATTCACTTAAAATGCATGTATTCTTGGAAGTGAAAGGGAAGAATTTTTAGAGTCACTCCCGAAATTAGGAAAATGAATAGGGATGGACAGGTGAGGGCTATTTAAATAAGGTGCGATTATGTTTAAGAACGGCTTGGTTCACTTTCAAGACTACTAAACTGACATTCTACCACAGACTTGTTGCATTTAGGAAGATTACTAGAATAACAGGAACCCAATAGGCTTGATATGAATACGAAAGAAAATCGGTAGATAAAAACTGAGTAGATAATGAATTAGAAGCACCAGTAGTTAGACATGGAAACAGGTGCATCCAGAACTGAATGTTGCATGAGAGGAACAGTGAACTGGAAAAGCTAAGAAACTTGTTTCTTGACATTACACTCTGAAATCTAATTTTTGGGTGGTCTCTTCCAGAGCACCTTAACACGAGTGGTATTCTTACTTCAGTCTTCCTGAATGCTTATGAAATTAATTTCTATAGTGACAGGTTGACGCACTTCACAGGGTATACGTTGTTATGAGGCGCTGAGAGGACAAACACCGTAGCAGCAAATAGCGGGGTGAACAGAAACTAACATTCATAAATAATTCTCGGCTAGTTCGAAAAGTTAACCGGAGAATTCCTCTGTTCTGTTTAGCGTGGCCAGAACCCCCTTGTGACAGACTTTCTTAGGTTTTCGTCAATATCAGTGAATATCAGGCGATCGTGTTTGGTGGAATTAGTTTCCTGGTCATTAGAAGTGACAGTTAATGTCGTGACCCTGCTTCTAATGAAGGACTGTGGTAATACCACCAAAAGTGTTTATTTATATCATACTGATGTCTCACAGTAATTCGCCGTGAACATTATTCACCAACCTGAATGTTCATGATATGCTTTTCCTACTCAATTTTTCTGCTTAATGAGCAATATTTCTTCGAATCATATGTTTGATGCTGCTTGCCCTGAAGTAAAGTTGCTTTATACAAAATATACTGAGATCTGTACCGTTATATTCTGGCAAAAGCAACAGCTCCTGATTCTAAGCTCAAGAATTCTCTGAAGTTCTTGCGTTTGCGCCATGCAAGTCATCGTCGTAAGATTAATATGGCATTCAGAAAACAGTATAGCAGTGTTGGGAACTCATCCTCACCAGCTGGGGGTTATGAAGATGGTGGTGTCACATAGCCTTATTAATGGAAACCATAGGTGTCCCTCTCCTGTCAAAAGACGCTGGTTAAATTTCTCTGCACTACAAGAAGGGAAGTTTAGTGAAAGGAATATTCAGAATACCATTTTATGCAGACTCGTGTACAAATCAGTTGCAGTGACATAACATCGAACCTCGGAAGAACAGGATAGAATTCCACGAAATTTTTTAGGAAAATATTCTAGGAAACAGAAATAAAAATTCGCCTCGCCGTCCTGAGGGTTAAATTCAAAGTGCCATTGTCAGTGTTGGAGATGAGTAAACGAAGCCCATAAAGCAGAGTAAGCGAATTGCGATCATCTAGACCACATCGAAGCCATCTAAACAAAACTGATGGAATTGAACTGCATATTTATAAAAATTAGTCCCAAATAGCCAAAAGTACTGTTGTCTTTCTGGGTTATAAAGTGGCAAATAGAGGAATGCAACCGTTACCTGAGAAGATCCTGGCTTTCAAGGCCACTGAAGTATCAAATTCTAAACGAAAGCTCAGACGGTTCCTGGGAAAAGTGGCATTCTACAGTTATGGCAACGCCAAAGACCCTTTCTCGCGAGGCAATTCAAGAATTCCACCAACTAGCCCATACAAGTGTTGCACAACACACAATCTAGTGAGCCAAAGTCCTTACTGGCCAAATATGAGAAGCGATATTGCAAACTACGTACTCGCCTGCCCACAGTGCCAATTGATGGAGGGTTATCAGCGCATTCAAACACCACTACAAACGATTCCTGTAACATCAGTCGGTGACTCGTGGTCAGTGGACATAATGGGTCCTTTTCATCAAGCATCCAGTGGAAATCTATAAGTTTTGGTGATGGCGAAACAAGCCACGCAATGGGCAAATGGCAATTCCAGATCAGTGCGCCAAGACTGTAACCGAGACAGTC